CACATCAAATTTATATAAAAAGGTTTTTAGTGTGCAGAACATTCATTGTTCAGTTGTAAATGAAGCCTGTACAGGGTTTTGATTTCCTCATTTATAATTAAATGATGCAATTATTTATATAATCGTTCCGTTATTTGTCTTTATCAGTATGAGTACTGTTTAAATATCATTTAAGTTGAATATATTTAGACTCATCAAATTCAGGTCAATTGGTAAGTCCATTAGATGTCTTTTTCAAATATTTGATGTCCACTTGACCCGAGTGACTTCTGCATAGTCACTATGTGTACTTGAAATAGCAATACACACAACGTCTTTGATTCTAAAGGTGACACCATTTGGAGTTTAAAAACTTTCTCGCTCCTTTTTGATGAAACAGAAGACATACAAAATAAATATATATATAAACTTTTTTTCATATCGTCAAAATAAAACAGAAATTATTTGCTACCCACACAAATGGGTTTAGCCACGTCCGGTCAGAATGGGGACATTAAATCCGATGCCTCGTGTAAAGAGAGTGCCACGCTCTTTGCACGTTAAGAACCCTTGCAACAACCCTTTGAGGGGTCCGTAGGTGACCTGTTGCAAGGCTAAATTTCTGTCCCTATCCAATTTACCCTCATTTCCCGTGGCAGTCTAAATTTCTCCGACCTTAATCCTTTAATCTATTACAGAACCTACCTATTGTATTTATTGTGAACTTGTTCTCGTCCTGAATATGCATGAAATATTTGCCACTGGACGTTAAGCAACCAACAATCAATCAATCACAAATGGGTTTAAATGAAAGTGTCCTGGTTTACATAAGTTTATTAAAAGAATCAGGCAAACTTCCTTTAATTGTAAATTGAAAACAAGATCTTCCCTAAAACTGTAGAGTGATCTTTCTCCTCTTTGTGTTTACATAAACCGTCTGCCTGGAATATTGTATCATCCATATACTATGACTGATACTGACATATATAGATTTATTCACTACTGTATTCTTACTCTAAAGTTTATCAACACTCACTGCTTAACCCTATCCTTATCCTTGGACGTTACATTGTACTTAACCTAATTTTGATTATTACCCATATCCTTATCATTAGCATTTCACTTATACTCAGACCATTAGATAATATTAGGTTTTTTTTTTATATCTAAATAATTTCTTTTTATAAAACAAGAGATGTGGTATTACATACGTTATTTGTGTCTTTATCTTAGCCTTTTTCTGTTATTGCTCATAAACAAAAGAAATTAACGAAAATTTCCCAGAAAAACATTACGGATTGATAAATTTAACCGAATCTAATAAAGAAAATGAAACTAATTTGAAGATAAAAACATTAAAGTGGAAAATGTTGCAGAAAAAAAAATGAGTAAAAGGAAAATTTCTTCCAACTAAATAAGCATTCAAACTAAGGAAATCGTCAACAGAAAACACAAATAAAAATATCCAACCGAACAGCTGCAAATGATTAGCATCAAAATGATTCAGCAACCAAACCCGTAGACAGTAAAAAATCTTCTTCGGATTGAAAACATTGTATAGGAAAGGGAAAAACGAAAGCCATATCATGCTGAAAAAAATAATAAAATTTTGTTTGAAACAAAAGAATATTGCTCTTCTTGACAAAAAATTAACAAAGTATAATAATCCTCAACTGAAAAACACCTATATAATTAAGAGTATGTGCAACAAAGTCATGTATATCTAAATTTTGGTCTTGACAAAAAAATCAAAGCAAGCAGAAAAAAAATGATTGGATGCAAAACAAAACAAATCAAATGGCTGATGAGGATCCATAAAAAAACACCAGAAAAGTAACAAAGAGGTATAACTGTAGAGAAAATAAAATAAACAAAAAATAAAGAGCAATTTCAGAGTTTGTAAAATAAGGAAAAAAATCAAACAAATTCAAATTTGGCATAAAAAAATTAATTAAATTAGTTGGCTACATTCTTGCGTTATTGACTACAAGTTTTGCGTTAATGGCTACATTTTTGCAGTATTTGGGGACATAAAAGTATGAGAAACAAAGTCTACTTCTTCCTATCTTATCTGTCTTTTGTTACATTTTCAATGAAACTGCCAATGGGTTAATGGTCAGCGTGCTTTACATCGGGTGCTGAATATTTCCATAAAACGTTTGCTTCTAATGTTAGCACGTTAAAAAACAAGCTATACATGTCGGTATGGTACACATCCAAACAATCTAAATAGTATTTCAGTGTTTTTCTTCTTAATTATATGTTATCTTTTTTCTAGTTGATTGATCTCTTCCATGTCTACAAGGGGCCTCGGTGGCCGAGTGGTCTAAGTAGTTATTACTGTAATCACTAGCCAGTTAACACTGAGGTTGTGAGTTCGAACCCACTCGTGCGGATGAACTCGACTCCTATCTTAATTGACTTGTATTGTCAGTTTTCCTATCGAAGGACGGTGGTTTTCTCCGGGCACTCAGGCTTCATCCACCAATAAAAACTGGCCGACACGAAATAGCCCAAAAGTGGCGTTAAAACACCAAAAATCAAATCCATGTCTTCATAGATATGAATACGTATATATTTAAATAAGTAATACTTGCCACTATCTTCTCTGTGTTCTTTTCTTCTCTTGAAGTGTGAGAAACTAAACAATATAAAAGGCAAAGAATAAAACAGAATAAAGATAAACCTAAATAAAGTATTCAGCTTACAAAGTAGACATAACAAACTTTACAAAGTGAAACGCATTGTCATCGCAATAAAAAATTATTGCCTAAAGTCACGATCTGGGAATACTGCAATATAATTGAAACCATAAAACTGTAAATTCATTTCATTCATTTTATTTTTTGACAAACAGTTAAGGCATCAATAAATTCAAAATTTGACTTAAAAGCAACAAAATTATAGGGATAATCAAAAGGATGTGCAGAATATTGTGAAAATTCCATCTACACATTGTTCTGAAATTATGATTCGAAATAAAGGTTTTACTGAGTTCCTTGGGTTATTTATTTCCCTTTTTTCTGCTTCTGATAAAAAACTGGTTAAATGCTAAATTGTTTTTTGACAATGTTCCATTTAAAATCTTATTTCTTGACTTAAATAATCAATGTGTTTTGTTGCAATTTTATCATCCAGTATGAACACCTCAGAATCAAATTTTCCATGATTTTAGATTGTAGGGCATTTCACAAATTTTATCTCTGCTTCATTTGAATATTTTTTACAATGCCTATTGCTTTGTGATATTGTTCAGTGACTCCTCTAATTACTACATAAAAAATTGTAGATCGAATTTCAATATATCTTCCAAATTAAGCACGTATATCACATGTTCATGACCAAAAATACAAAATAATGTGATGTTGGCGTGTAATTGCCTTTTCAATACATTCCTCTCTTGTCTCGTACATCTTAAGGTGGGAGTAGAAGTGGACTCACTAACAGAACTGGAGCTAGCCACCAGGAAAATTGTTCTATGCGATACAGTGTACGTGTGATGGGAGTCGGTGGAGGTGCGGAAAAGGTGGGAAAAGCATCTCTATTACCATCACCAATGATCGAAAAAGTGGCCAAGCATCTCCTTCACCAAAGATAAAAAAGGTTGCTAGAGTATCACCATCACAAAGATGGAAAACGAGCTGTCGCACTTCACATACTACAGGGTGTCTGACAGGGACGACTGGGTGGCAGCTTACCCGAAGTAGACTTGTCAAATACAGAATTGTGTGTGGGGCTGTGTTTATATATTTGAACTGTGATTTCCCGTGTAAATGGGTCAAAAATTAGCTTGTGTGCGTGTTACTATGACACAGTTCTCCAGAATTATGGAATATAGTGTAAATTTATGGTTCGTGTGAATTGACTGTTGAGTTATCTGTACACTTATATATATATATATTGATATTCGGAACAGCCGTTTACGAACTGTTTCCTACAAGAATGCCTTTGATCAGCTGGAGGGACTACCTTAATTTGTATAACATCAATCCACAAAATCCCTGGAAGATGTTCTTTTGGTTGGGATGAATTCTTCTTGTTTTTTATAGAAAATTTGTCTCCATTGAGTAGTCGTCCCCATGTCTCTTCTGAAAGACCAAGGACTTTATGGAAATCAACATCTTACAGAACATCTTCAGCCAAATCGAATTCTCGTAGGACTTTATCCTCAGCCAGATCAAGATCTCTTAAAACTTCTTCTGCCAAATCAAAATTTCGATCTCCAATAGTCTTACGGGATTGCATTGTTGGGTAGATCGAGATCAAAATCTCCGGTGGAGTATGGCAGCCCACATTAAAATACAATGTATTAAGGGAGATGAAGAAATTACCACAGGGAGAGGTCTAGATCTCCATCTTACAGGGCAGTACCATCATCTTCTAGACGAGTACCATCTAGATCAATATCACCAATTATTTAAAAATATCATCGAAATAACACATATAGAAGGAGGTCATCTAAATCCAAATCTACAAGTGACCGACCTGTTAAGCAAAGTGAGACATTTCCTATGAAGAAGGGAAGTACAAAATAATGAATCTGTATAGATAAGATGATGTTGTAAATGCTAAAGTTATGCACTTGAATTAATAAATACTATAGGAATTGGATCTGCTGTGAAGAAAAAAGTCACATGTAGAAATTCCTATCGAAAGTCGGTGGTTTTCTCAATTTTGAATGGTATTGCTTTCATTTTTCTTACATTTGCCATATTTTGCCACTTGCAGAAAAGTTTAACATGTTTTTAAATTGCAGATGTAATAAACATAAAAACCAATGTTGGTATTGTTCATGATGTTCAATCATAGTGATGACAGACAACTATATAATCATATTTGCTTGTAAAATATTGGCGTGCTACAGAAAGGATATATGCAACCAGTCACACTATTCAGTTATCCCACCCTCCATATTGGTGTCAGCAGCCCAGCATAAGGGTACTTTAAATACTCTAAAACACAATAATTTCTCAAGCCAATATTTTTCTAAACGGTAAAAGAGACTAGAGTGTTACAGTATACTGTTCATATGAGCTTGTGCCTTTTTCCTCAAGTCTTTCAAGACAAGTTTCTGATCTGTACTTTCAGTTCCTACAAAAATTTTGTTTAAAATATTACAACTATCACAGAAAGGCCACTTTAAGTTCGACAATAATTAGTTACACATGAATTTGATTTCCATAAATGAAAGAGCTGATCTGAAAGGTCATCAAAACATTCCTTATTGTTTAAGTTCAGGAATAATCTTTTGTATGGTATGAAATTGAAGTTTAATATTATATGAATGAAACAAACATGTTAAGTATAATATACAAAATAATTATGCATGAATACAGTGTAAAAATGTTGAAGAGCATGTAGTATATTAAGATGTTTCAAAATGGTGTGTTATTTGTGAACATATTACATGTATGATGTGGATGTAAACATAATTTCTCCATTTCTTTGTCAATTTAACCCATCTTGAACCCAAACATTTTATCAAGGCGTGGCTCACATTGATCGCAGTTAATGATTGGTAAATGCAACAGGTTCTCCCTGACAAAACTTAGATAATACATATACATTGACATCTTCTGTTAATTCAAATTTAAACTTATCTATTTATAGTGGATTGGGAAATGTAACTTCAACTTATTCTTATCCCTCCCCACTTTGTGTATGTACGGCCTTGTAGTAGCATTAGCATTCTCTTTTTGAAATCTACAAGGGTGTATTTTACATGCTAAGGGTATTGCTCTCCCTTAAAATAGGCTAGCTATTTAACAGACTATTGTAAATGTTTGTTATTCAGAATATATATAGTTTGCGGATTCATTTGTATGATGTAGAAATCAGGAATATGGATAAATCTATTAGGAGAATGAGGTTTTATTAATTAAATATTCATTGCGAAACAAATTCTTACATACTTACTCCTGGATTATCGGATTAATATCAAGCTTGATAGTTTAATTATCAAATTTTAACCTCACTCAGACTCAGACTTTAAATTATTAATTTAACTTTCTCTATTGGATAAATTTGATAATCAACTTTTAAAGATGTTTAACTTACACCAAAAGTCAATTATGTAATAAAGTGTTTTGTCATGCTTTAAGAATATCGTTAAAGCAATGTCTAGTGTCATACTTAAATGTATGCCCAGACAAACTTAAATATGATTTTTTTTAACATAAAATTAGCACAACAATGAAACATCAACCTTTATATTGATATTGGTTAATACTCCTATGCATTCAAATTTTCTATTATACTGCAATTCTCTTCTATTCACAAATTAGGTGTAGCCATTTATTCACGAAATTATTGTACATGTGAATGATACTAAAAAAATAATGTATTGGAATTTTGGAAAGCAATTGTTAAATTTGCAAATTAAGTACAAGACTGCAGTAAAGAAACATGAAAGTTAGGCACTATTACAGTATATTTACCAAAAGAATGATTTGAGTACAACTCCTCCAATATTTTAGGACGGGCATTAAAGAATGCTGCAGTTTTTCTTTCTCCTAAAAAAAGCTGTTGCCCATCATTTTTATCAATTCCCATAATAACAACATCTACGTTGTACCCTCCAATTTCAACTATCTGAAATGTTCAAAAGTATACTAGTTATATCCAGCAAATATGTTAAACATCACTGCATATATACTATTGTACCTGTCCCAAGTCAGGAGACTGTAGTTTTAGTGGTTGGCACTTGTTGCTATGTGTTATACATTGTATATTTTAAACTATAAGTATGCCCAGTCATTAGATGAGAAAGATTTCCAAATGATTCCAAACTTATTAGTAAGATCGATATATCAATGGATCGATCGATAGATAATAATTACACATTTACATAACAGTTTCTTAACCTTATGCACCGACCGTGCAAGGGCTTTATAGCCAGTCAAGGTCGTTAAAAAACCCGTAGTAGTAGTAGCAATGTTATGTTAACTCTTCTGTAACTTAAATATTAGTGATGAATAAAACTTGGAAAATCAGTTCAGAATTCTTTCAATTGGCTTAACAAAAGTACAGTGAGTCTATATACCTGGCTAACAATTTTCTTAAACAGTTGTTTAGCTGCTTTTGGTTTGTTTGTTGTCTGGTTGGTAAGCACTCTAGCTTTTTCTTTATATTCAAGCTTTTCCTCTGCTGAAGGAAAATCACATCCTTACAGCATCACAGCTGATACACAATCTGCCAGTATCTTGACCAACTGACCTTTATCAGAAAGTTTAATTACTTTTACATCCTCAACAGATGCCAGGTAAGCCAACGCTTCTGTTATTTTTTAAATAGTGATCTGACATTACATCTTCTGTTTAAATTGAAGGTAGAGGAGAACATTCATCTCTTATATATTCTTGGAAAGATTACTCAAATGGGCAATTAATTTTTCCATGTACATTCCTTCTCTTATAAGAATGACGAACTCCCAAAACTATCAAGTTCACCCGACTATCGTCTTAATTTCTTAAGACCGTACCAATTCAATCTTGAAGACAATTTACATTTTAGGACGAAATTTGATGGGGAAAAATGAAACAACTACTTGTTTCAAAATACGTCTTTATTTGGAAATGCACACCTTTATGGATTTGGTTATGAAATCAGTCTGACTCACCAATATCCCTCTCTCTGTTAGGAATCCCATACTTTTGTCAGTAATGGCTAGCTCCGTGAATTTGTTTGACAACTCTGTGTTACTGTATTTTCTCCGTATTGTGTTAAAGTCCTGTCTGGGAATCTGGTGATTTACCATCAATCTGGAAGCTTGCAACCGTCGTGCCTATTCCAAAACCAAGTAAAGATCACACGGATCCTATTAATTATCGGCCAATTGCTCTTACCAGTTGTGTCTGTAAAACACTAGAACGGATGGTCAATGATCGCCTTGTTTGGTTCCTGGAATCCAATGGGCTTTTAGCCAATATCCAGTGTGGATTCCGCCAAGGTCGCAGTACTCTTGACCATCTTGTTCGATTCGAATCATTTGTCCGTAATGGTTTTGCGAAAAATGAACATGTAGTGTCGGTCTTTTTCGATCTAGAAAAAGCCTATGATACTGCATGGAAGTATGGTATTTTAAAAGATCTCTTTGATATGGGGTTGAAAGGCAATATGCCAAATTTTATTTCGAATTTTCTATCTAACAGACAATTTAATGTTAGAGTAAATTCAACCATGTCTGATCTGTATGATCAAGAGATGGGTGTCCCTCAGGGCAGTATTTTATCTGTTACATTATTTAGTCTTAAAATCAACAGCCTTGTTGAAGTTTTAAAAAGTAATATTGAAGGTTCATTGTATGTTGATGACTTTTTAATATGTTATAGAGGCACAAATATGAATAACATAGAAAGACAATTACAGTTATGTCTTGGAAGAATTGAAAAATGGGCCTCGGAAAATGGGTTTAAATTTTCCACTTCAAAAACGGTCGGGATGCATTTTTGTAACAAAAGGCAATTGCATCTTGATCCAGAACTCTCTTTGTACGGCAACCCAATTAAAATGGTTGATGAAACCAAATTTCTTGGGTTAATTTTCGATAAAAAGTTAACCTTTCTACCCCATATCAAAATGTTAAAATCGAAATGTTTAAAAGCATTAGATATTTTAAAAGTTGTCGGCAGCACCGACTGGGGTGCTGATCGCAACATTTTACTTAATTTATATAGATCTCTAGTTAGATCTAAACTAGATTATGGCTCTATAGTGTATGGCTCTGCAAGAAAGTCCTACATACAGATTCTCGATGCTGTGCATCATCAGGGTTTGCGTCTCTGTCTTGGCGCATTTAAAACCTCACCAGTTGAGAGTCTGTATGTAGAGGCTGATGAGCACTCACTCTCTAACAGACGTTTGAAGCTTGGACTTCAATATGCTGTCAAACTAAAAACCTACTCAGATAATCCTGCCTACAGCTGTGTTTTTAATCCAATTTATGAAGATATTTTTGCAAAACATGAAAATAAAATTCCTCCGTTAGGTATACGTTTAAAATCACATTTAGCTTCTTTTGATTTAAAATCTGTTGCTCAAGTTGAAACTTGCAAATGTCCTCCATGGGAACTTCCCAAACCAAAAATGATATTTGATCTCCGTGAACACAATAAAAATAAAACAAATCCTCTTTTAATTCAGCAACACTATGCTGAAATCAAAGCCAATTATTCAGATTTTTCAACTGTCTATACTGATGGATCAAAAGATGGTGACAGAGTTGCATCTGCTGCTGTCTTCAGGGACAGAGCTGCAACTCTCCGTTTGCCATCTGATGCATCGATCTTTTCTGCTGAAGCAGAAGCAATAATTTTGGCTTTGAAATTTATTGCTTCTTCAGATAAATCCAAATTTATTATATGTTCTGATTCACTTTCATGCTTACAAGCTATACAAAATACTAAAATTAAAAACCCAACAATTCTCAAAATTTTATATGTAATGAGGAATTTAAAAATTCTTCTTAAAGAAATATTATTTCTATGGGTGCCGAGTCATGTTGGAATCCTTGGAAACACAGCTGTAGACCTTGAGTCAAAGAATGCCCTGGGTGACCCTTTATCTAACTGTGATATACCATATACCGATTTTAAATCTAATATTAGAGAATATGTTTTTAATATATTGAAAAATGAATGGAGTAAAAAAGATGGTAATAAATTACATGAAATTAAACCTAATTTATGTAAACCTTTCAATAATTTTATGTGCAGAAAAGATCAGTGTGTTATTTCTAGATGTCGTATTGGTCATACTAGAATAACACACGAATATCTTTTAAAAAATGAAGTAGAACCACAATGTATACCTTGTAACTGCAAGTATACTATTAAACATGTTTTAATCAATTGTATTGACTTTGCTGATATTCGGAAGAAGCATTTCAATGTCAATAATATGTATGATTTATTTAATAATATTCCATTTACAAATATTGTTTCATTCTTAAAAGAAATTGGAATATATTATAAAATATAAAAATGTTGTTATATTTAAAACGATTTTAATTTTTATCACGTTATCTTAGTGTTGATTTAGTCTAGAATTTTAGTTTATTGAAAGACCTTTGGTCTGATTTTAAAAATATACCTTAAATTGTTATAATATTCGAATTAGCTCTCGCCGCGATATAGCCTTTCTGTGCTAATGCGGCGTAAAGCAAACAACAATCAATCAATCAATGTTAAAGTCCTGTAATTGAAATGACTGCAAGCAGCTGTCTTAAAAAAAAAATACTCGTTCTGTTAATAAAAATGTCTCATTTGCATACTGCAATTGCTAGTCGTTCAACCAACATCTTCCATTAAAGCAACTTCTCGTTTGTATTTTGATGCAACATGAGTTTGTTTCATTTACTAGTAATCTATTTCACAACGTTTATTTTAACTACACTTCAAAATGTCATAATCATTTCCAGTATTTCAACCAATCAATCAATAAATACAAGTAATTCCAAAGTCAGATTGATTTTTAATTCACCTTCTATACTTTTCGTATCATCATTACTGACGTTTTGACAACGTAGATGCCTTTAAGTATTCCAATACAGGATGGTGCAAGTTTCTTATTGATTCCACTGTTACAACAGTATGTATGGTACCGTGGCCTATAGGACTCTACGCATATGTCAATAGATTTATTGAGTGATTGTTGGTTGCTTAACGTCCAGAGGCAAAAATTTCATGCATATTCAGGACGAGAACAAGTTCACAATAAATACAATAGGTAGGTTCTGTGATAGATTAAGGGATTAAGGTCGGAGGAATTTAGACTGACACGGGAAATGAGGGTATATTGGATAGGGACAGAAATTTAGCCTTGCAACAGGTCACCGACGGACCCCTCAAAGAGTTGTTGCAAGGGTTCTTAACGTGCAAAGAGCGTGGCACTCTCTTTACACGAGGCATCGGATTTAACGTCCCCATTCTGACCGGACGTGGCTGCAAATTTGTACATCCCGCACAGCCAAACGGACGCCCCACTTTGGCACGGGTTTTCCTGCCGGTCGGAGGAAAACCAATGGTGACCATATTTCTATTCCCCAGTCACCCTTGGGGGATATGTCGATAGAGGATGGTGTTTAAAAAAATCTAATTGGGACCACTGTAAGAACAGTGTTTGTGCCACTACGGCCCATAGGAGTCCAGACATAAAGTGCTATATTTATCATTATCCTGGTCATTCGTTGAGAACTTCATCCCACTTTAGTTAATATAAGGTTAAAGGGTGACAAATAAATTAACTGTATTGGATTTAAAATCGCACATGTTTTTTTTTCAAAAACGAAAGTCTAATGTAGATTTATTTGAATTATTATTCTGTGTAAACGAGAAAAATGCAAAGTTTATTTACTAGATTGTAAAAATAGCAGAGTGTTATGTTCTGTCCATAAAACACTTATGAATTAGGAAAATTACACTTATCGTCTTTAAACTTTTTACTTGATCAGAAATTATAGAAACTAAAAACACATGGTATATATGATTAATTAAAAGTTCCATACAGGTTTTAACAAAATATCACTTTCCTAATTATGCTCTAGTGTATTTGGAGGACAACTAATTAAATATAACTGATCATCATACATGTTTTCGTCATACACACTGCTGGTATAAATCTAAAGTCTCCATAATGTTCAATTCTCTGTAGATGCCTGCAGAAACAAATATCTAGCTGATATTTTAAAGTTTTATTTTTGATGTCTCTTTATCTGAACATCCAGACTAAAGTTCACCGTTAACAATTCCGTCACTATAGCATAACGTTACCCAGCTTCTAAAACGATGACATGATTCATTTTCTTTCTCATTCCTATAAACATAGCTTGCAACATAATCGCTTCGAATTTTGGCATTTTGATAATCTTTTGAATAGTAAGTTCCCCAAGGGTGACTGGGGAATAGAAATATGTTCATTACAGGTCTTTCATGTCTTCTGCTAACAACTCATAGTTATTCTGGTTGTTTTTCAGTCGTACCTTTCTCCCCAAAGCAGTGCAACCTTTTTGCAGTGTTTTTTCTTCTCTAAATTATAATAAAAAAGATGCTAACCTTTAAATATATACATTAAAAGTAAGGTAATGTACTACAGTATACAAATCTCCAATATCAATCTCATTTATAAAAAATCAATC